GACATATTGTCAGGAGGGACCAGTCACTGGAGAAGGATATCATGTTTGGTAAGGTGGAGGGTCAGGGAAAAAGAGGAAGACCTCCAACGAGATCGACTGACAAAGTGGCAGCATTGATGGATTCACGCGTGGCAATAATTGTGAGGTTGGCCCAGGACCGGGCAGTGTTTCGTTCTGTTGTGCATAGGGTTGCTATGAGTCAGAACTGTGATTGTCAGACGGCACTTAACAACAACATCAAATGGTCACTAAAGAGTCCTGGCATGGTTCTGCAGGATAATGCACTAGACCCCAAGGTTAGTTTGAATCGCAGGGTTGGCAGTTCAAACTCACAAGCTGCTTCTCAGAAACCCTATATGAGGCTGCTATGAGTCAGAACTGACTTGATGGCATGTAACGACAATAAAATATGGTCACTATAGGGACTTCTGGTGTGGCCCTGTAGTATAAGCACTGGATTGCAAGGTCAGTATGAATTTCAAGGTTAGTGATTCAAACTCCCCAGCAGCTCCTTAGAAGCCCTATATAGGGCGTTATGAGTTGGAACCAACTCAGTGGCTCTTACTACAACAATGGTCGCTTTGATTTGGAACCGACTTGATAGCACTTAACAACAACAATTATACATAGCTATTGTCTGATCAGGATGGTGAGCTCAATTTCAGACCTGAAGGGTGACCAAGGGCCATAGTCTTGGGGTTCCACCAGCTTCTATCTGACCAGTAAGCCTGGCCGTTGTTTTTTTAAAATGATTTTGAGTTTTCTTCCACATTTTCTCCCACTCTCTCCAAGATCTCCTAATGCGAACCGTTTCAGAGCAGTTTCGGGGTCATGAAGACTGGTGGTCACATGACAAATTATACAAAGGTTTCTAAGCATCTTCAGTTTTTTCCCTCTGGACAGAAGGCTGCTCATGAGCTGTATCTGAGTCTCTACTCATGAAAGTAGGATGCAGAACAGTGTCTTCATGGACCACGTCATGCCTATTGATTATGGAGCTCCCCATGACTATGGTCCTAAGCTCCCAGGCCCAGCAAATTATTGCCTCAAGGTGCTTGGTAATGTCTAAGAAGTTTTCATGTTTTTGTTCCTTGTATGTTCCACCACAGTTATGGCTATTTTTGCAGCAATAGGTAAATACCCAAATCCAAAAACCTTCTGTCAAACCCACATGTATGTCTGGGGATAGTTCCTCTCCATCCTACACCTGTTTGCCTGTGTATCTATCCACACACCTACCCACACAACAGTGTTACTATGAAGTTGTATACGTAACAGTATTTACCTCGGTTCCCTTAATAAAAGTCATATTTGCCTCTCGTGGTCTGGTTTTAATTTTCTTCAGCTTCAGCTTGAACTTGCACGTGAGCAATTGACAATTTGTTCCACAGTCAGCCCCTAGCCTTGTTTTGGCTGATAATATTGAGCTTCTCTATTGTCTTCCCACAGATATAATCAATTTGATTCCTATGTATGGTGGTGATGGTATGCCGTGGAGTTGGTTCAACTTATAGCAACCCTGCATAGGGTTTTCGAGGCTGTACATTTTTACCGGAGCAGAAAGCCTCATCTTTCTCCCATAGAACAAGCTGGTAGTTTTGAACTGCTGACCTTGCAGTTTGCAGCCCGATTGTAACCACTACTTGTAACCGCTGTGCTACCAGTAGCTATGTAAGTCCTTTAAAAAGGTATTTGTTGGTCTTACAAAAGCTTATCAGGAGATCTCCAGAGTCATTTCTATTACCTAGGCTTTCTTACCCACCTACTGATCACTCCTCTTTGTTCCAACATTTGCATTCCAATCACAAGTAATTATCAATGCATCTTGATTGTAGGTTTGATCAGTTTCAGACTGCAGCAACTGTTAAAGAGTTCAATTTCTTTAAAGTTGGCTTTGGTGGTTGCTATGCAAACTTGAATAATAGGTGTATTAACTGGTCTTTGTTGTTGTTGTTAAGTGCCACTGAGTTAGCAACCTAACTCAATGTTATACAGGTTGTTGTTAGCAAGCCTGTATAAGATTTCCAAGGAGCAGCTGGTGAGCTTGAACTACAGATCTTGCAATTCAAACGACTTTGCAATCTGATGCGTTAGCCCACAGCGCCATACCAGGACTCCTGTCTTCCATGTGGGTGTATAGATATTATCGTATCACAAACATCATTGTCCTTCAAGATAGATCTTGAAATATTCTTTTTGATAATGGATGTGATAATGGATTCCTCTCCGATTTATCCTTCCTGGCACAGTAAACCATTTGTTTAATTGTTTAATTCAAAATGGCGAATACCTGTCCTGTCCATTTCAGCTCACGAATGTCTAGGATATTGATTTTTATGCCTTCCATTTCATTTTTGACAATTCTCAATTTTCCTAGATTCATACTTTGTATGTTCCATCTTCCAATTATTCATGGATGTTTGCAACGGTTTCTTATTTTGATATTGATCTTTATGCATTCCATTTCATTTTTGACTACTTCCAACTTTCCTAAGTTCATACTGCATACATCCATGTTCCGGTTACTCATGGACATTTGCAGCTGTTTCTTCTCCTTCTGAGTCTTGCGCCATCAGCAAATGATGGCCCCAATCGCTTTGCTCTATTCAATGAAAGCTGATTCTACTTTAAAGAGATAACTCTCTCTCAGTCTTATTTTGAGTACCTTCCAACCTGAGGAACGCATCTTCAGGCACTGAAACAGGCAATGTTATTCATAAGGTCTTCCTGGGCTAATCTCTCAGAAGTGGACCGCGTATTCCTTCTTCCTAGTAACTTCTTTGTCTGGGAGCTCTGTTGAGACCTGCCCATCATTGCTGACCCTGCTGGTATTTGAAACACTTGTGGCTCAGTTTCCAGCACACAGCTACACACAAGTCATCACAGTATAACAACCTGACAGACGTGCTGGGGACTACACAAATGGGGATAGGCAAAAACATACCCAGCCAGGAGACTTGGGAGGAAGTGGGGCTTCATGTAGTTTTGGGTGGGCAGACCCAGGTCTCCCTGGGGACAAACACTCTCCCTGCTGTGAGGAGGCACAGGGCCACAGCCCTGGCAGCCAGGAGCTGTGTCCTTGGCCACCCAAACAGGCCACCCTGGTGACACAGAGCCTGGGAAAAGGGCAGGCTGCCCCCAGACCCACTGCGGGGCTCCCCGCCCAGTCTTTGTGGCTGCTGTGAGACTGGACCAGTTCTCACACTCCAGTGCCCCAGGGCAGGAATATTTGCATAACTGCTGCAGGCTGCCACCAGTCCTGAGGGTGGGGTGAGCCGGGGGCGGGCGGGCTCCAGAGGAGGGAAGAGGGAGGAAGTAAAACTGAGGAGCTTCACCCAGACCCAAAAACAATGGGAACAAGAGGTGACAGACAACACTGGGGACCCATGACTCTAGAACCCAGACCCAGATTCAGCCAGCTCTGGGGCCTGACGCTGCAGCCGTAACTCTCACTCCTTCCCTTGCCCTCGAGCTGTAGCACTTAAGGGGGAGGGGGTCTGGGGCAGCCCGATGATCTGTGGGACTAAAGGAGGCCCCTCACCTTGAGCACAAATGTGTTGTCCTTCTCTGGCATCTCCAGGGGCATGGTGGTGCGGACCTCGATGATGGCTGAGAGGGGGATGCTGACCTTGGGTCTGGAGGCCTGGGGGGCAGAGGAAGGGGCTGTGAGAGTGGCACTCCAAGGGTCCTATAGCCTTCCCCTCCTAGCCTCCCCGGGGGGCCAGGCAGCCCTGGCTCAGACATCCATCCCATTTCACAGATGGAAAAATTGAGGATGTTCTTGGGATTGACATAGGTCTCTGCTCCCTGTTCTCTGGAGGGATAAACCCTACCTGGGCTACCTTTCCACAGGTGTACCCACAAGGTCTGTGTTTTTCACATATTTTTGACCTTGACCTACAAGACGAAATACATCAAACATTGTGACCCAATACCCACAGAAACAGGTAGAAACAGCTCTGCAGTGAACATTTCATGGGGTATGTAGACATGCAACTTTTTCTCTTCCAGCTCATTAAAGCAATAATGAGCTACAAGAGACTTTCCAAGGCAGAACAGGGCTACTGGGCTAGACAGGGTCGTCTGTTTCCTGACCCCAACTCAGGCTCTGCCCACTCCGGAGGTGACCTGGCTAGGGCAGGTGTGAGTGAAAAGTTTAGTATTCCAAACCATACTGCAGTGTTTGGCCAGCATAAGCAGGCCGAACTGTGGAAGGGCCATTCATGTGACACTATCTGCTCCACCCAGCCAGGGACCAGGGTCCTGAGGTCACTTAGCTGGCTGAAGACTGGGATTCCCGGCAGGGCTTGGGCTCTGGGACAGGGACTTTCTCAGGAGGAAAGGGAAGGACCACAAGATGCATGGGCAGGGGCACGGGAATTCCTGGCAGCACTGGCCATTGGCCAGAAGGCCCTGGGCTGGGCTTAAGGCTGGGCTGACCATGATGTGAAGCTATCACACCAGCCAGTGGGACTAGGATTTGCAGACCTCTACCGGCTGGAGCTCTGGTAGCGTAGTGGTTATGAATCAGGCTGCGAACCTTAAGGTCAGCAGTTGAAAACTACCAGCAGTTCCACGGGAGAAAGATGAGGCTTTCTGCTCCCCATAAAGATTTACAGCCTTGGAAACCCTGTACAGGGTCGCTTTGGGTTGGAATCGACTCGACAGCACTTAACACAACAACAGCCGGCTGGAGCAGAGAGAGAGGTCTGCAGTGGAGGCTTAGGGCTAGGGGGTCAGCGGGAGTTGCACTGGCTGGCGACACTGTGGATGGCTCGGTCTGACCACTCGTCTCACCCAGTCCTGTACACCTCACTGCTGTCAGGCTAAGTCATAACCTCCGGCCTCTACTCCTCAGCTCCTGCCTTCAAGAATGCCTGTCCTGGGGCTCTGGCATTCACTTCACTGAGGTTTACCAGCCAGTCCTGCCGGTGCTAGTCTCCTGGTGGCTCTCCCACGGGCAGGTGGGCAGCCTCACTGCTCCTGAGGTGGCTCTGAGCTGCAGTGGTATCAGGAGGGATACTCTGGGGGCCTTACTTGCCCTGGGGCCTTTGGTCCTCTGGGACCAAACACATTAGGGATGTCCAACCTGAGCACTTAACGCTGGTGTGATTCACCCTCCCATGGGGGTACTTTGTAGTCAGAAAAGGAAGGCCTAAGACTAGATCAGTGGGCTGGGAGCCCACTTGCAGTCTTCAGAGATGGGGACAGGCCTAGTGACCCCTCGGGGGCCCTGCCCGCTGTCATCAGTGGTGTTGGCGGGCTCTGGCAGGATGAATGGAGACAGCACCAGCTGCTGCCCTGCCCCCGCCCTGGGCAGCAGACAGACACTGCTATTTTCAGTTGGGCAGCTGGGACTGTCACTCAGGGCCTGAAGGCTTTGATGGCCTGGGCCTGTCCCTGCCCTTTGGATGACACTGGACTAGCCCCAGGCCTACTTCCTGTCCCTCACCACACCTTAGTCTCCCTGTCACACAAGGCATGGTGTGGCCTTGGTGGTCTATGATTTCTCTCAGGGGCATATGAGTTGGGGCTTAGACACATCAAAGGCCCTTGGAAAGTCTGGGGGTCTTGGGACCTGGGGAGACTTTCCTTTAGAGAAGATGTAGGTCCCTGGGAAGTCACCCTGCACCCACTTTGAGGAGTCCATAGGCCTCCAGTAACAGTGGGGAGGCATACTCAGAGTTGCAGGCAGACTCAGAGATGACGTAAGAGTCGAGGGTGATTAGGGGGCCTGGGTGGATCCAGGGGTGCCACAATCTGCAGCAGCCCAACTTCCCATCTCCTCTCCCCACAGCCCCCAAGTGCACAAGGCACCCACCTCCACACATAGTTCATTCTCCGCACCCCTATACCCAGGGGTGGTGAGTATAATTAGCCCAACTCCACCACCCACCAGCTATGAGACTTTGGGCAGGTCACACTCTCTCTCTGAGTAGTTTTTCTCCTGTGACCTGGGGCCACCTTGCTGGAACACTGGAGCTTGTATGTGCACACTGCCCACAGGCCCAAGGATGGACATCTGGCAGCAGCAGCCAATGCTGTTACTTATTCTTGGCTTACTGTCCTTCCTGGGTAAGCTCAAAGCTGCCCTAAGGCTTGGTGAACCAGGGAGGGTGAACCACTCACTATACGGAAGCTGAGCTTTCCTGGGCTGACTGGCCAGGGTTGGGATGAGCAGAGTCCCTCTCCCTCCGGGACCTTATCCCAGCAGGCTCTAGCTCTGGGACCCCCGGCCTCCCTGAGGCCCTAGATAAGAACGGGGCCCTATCCATGCCCCTTCCAGGAGCAATTAACTCAGAGCCCTTCTCAGCTGGGACCCTCCTCCCACTTCACAGATGAAGGGACGGACTATTGTAGGTGATTGGTCCAGGGTCACATCACATCCCGCAGCGCAAGGGTGCTCACCTTGGGTGGCACGAAGAACTCCAGGCGGAAGCGCTCCCCAGCGACAGCCCGGCGTAGCAGCAGGCGGCACTTTTGCCACTGGGCACTTCCTCCAGGTCCGGTGGCCGAGTCGTCTGCCACCATGAAGCGCAGGGCGCCCTCCCTCTGGATGTCCACCAACTCCACTTTGGCAGCCAGCGTCCGTGACAGCCGCAGGCGCCGCGTCCACTTGTCGCGTGGCTCGGCGGCGGGCTCGGCAGCCCTCGGGGTGGCGTTGGCCTCGGGCTCTGCGCGCCGGTGCCACATGTCGCGCATGCCGTCCACGACGCACAGGCTCATGTTGCGCAGCGAGAAGCCTTTGCGGACGCGAGCCTTGGCCGTGACATGCGACACGTCCTCTGAGCTCCGGGAGTGACCGTAAGTCGCAGTCTTTAGGGCCTGGTGTCCCCCCGCATCCGGCTCCATGGCGGTGTTGCGCTCAGACGGTCCGCCCACCAGCACGCGGCGCACCTCCTCACTGAAGACGTCCAGGAAGTTGGCGGCGAAATGGCGGGAGAAGGAGGTGCCGGCGTCGGGTGTGTCGTAGGCCGGGTTGTCCCGCAGAAAGCGGCAGAACTTGTGCGCGAAGTCCACGGCGGCCGCTTGTGCGTGCAGCTCGCAGAACTGCCGCCAGTCCGGGCCCAGGGCGGCGGGGCTGGCGCCGCTCATGACGCCCGTTCCATGCCAGCTCCCTGCGGCTGCAGAAAGGAGGTGCCCATGGCTTTGGGTCCTGGCCCGTGGCCTGCACCCACCCACCCTCTCCTTTCCCCCATGGCCAGGGCTTTCTGGGGCTGGGGTATGTGTGTGCGCATCTCGATACTCCTCCAATCACGGGTCTCAGGGCCCTGGGTCATTCCTGGGTACTTAAAAGTGAGGTTCTCACAAGCCCCCAATATAGTTCTGTTGGCTCCAATTTCAGAGTTCCTTCAGGAACTGAATTAGCCTTTACCAGCCAGACTGCCATTCCCGGAGCCCCCAGATCCCCTTCTCTTGTTTGCAACACCTCAGCACTGGCCTCTCCCACCCTGACCTCATCCCTATTATTCCCTGTTCTTCACCTGGAGTCCAGCTTCAGGTATGAAACCGATTCAGTGATCCCTGCAACGTGTCCCTGCTTCACACAGAGTGCAAGCTAAAGAAAGACCTGGCCTGGCTCTGCTCTCAAGCTCGCTAGGCACCTGCTTATCTCAGGGCTGTGCTTGGAATGTTCTTTCCTCCCTCCTCTCATCATCTCCTTCAGGTTTCTGCCGATCTATCCCTCTGTCTGGTAGCGTAGTGGTTACGAATCGGGCTGCGAACCTTAAGGTCAGTGGTTCGAAACTACCAGCCGCTCCGCGGGAGAAAGATGAGGCTTTCTACTCCCGTAAAGATTTACACCCTCGGAAACCCTGTACAGGGTCACTATGGGTCGGACCCGACTCGATGGCACTTAACAACAACAACAACAATCCCTCTGTCTGAGCATTCCCTGACCACTCTGTGGTGAACAATACATCCTGCTCCTGTTCCCTTTGCTCTTACCTCCTTCACAGTATGTGCCTAGCCCCCCTCCCACACATACCATGTATTTACTTGCTTGGTGTGATGCCCACCCCGGACCCCTGCCCCCTGAAGCCGGCACCACCAAGTTAGGGTTTTTAACAATCTTTTCAGCAGGAACATGGGTTGCAGGAAGCAGCACCCAGATGTGCCCCAGCTGTGAGCCCTGAAGCCCTCACAGCAGGCCTCAAGTGCCCCCTCTCACCCTCAAAACACACAGTCAGTGGCAGGCCCAGGATTGTTACTCACCTTGGCCTGACCCCAGGCAACAGGGATCACAGTATCCAGTGTGGATCAAGTTGTGAGCAAGTTTGTACACTGGTGAAGGCCCTGCCTCCACAGACCCATTTCCCTCAAGGCAGCTGGGGGCACCCTGGAGTTCCCATCTAAACCCCACCTTCTTTTTCTTTTTAAACCCTACCTTCTTGTAGAGGTCCCAATCAGGGGCATCTCTCCAAAATCCCTGCTTCCTCTTCCTTAATCCAAGGCCCCTCCACCCTTGACCACCCTAGATCACCATGGGGGAGGGAGGATGGAACACCCAGTCAGCCACTGGAGGCCTCATCTCCTCATCCCTTCAAGTGGCTGTTGTTCAGAGGGACAGAGGACCAGCTCTCTGCTTGTACCCATCTCACCCCTTTATCTAGGTGAAAATCATCAATGAAGAGATAATTAGGGCTGTGGGGGCCCCTGTCTGAGCGGGGAGAAGGGACGATCCTTCCAGGGACTGAGGTACCTTCCCAGAGTCCCCCACTTTCTGGCATACCCCGCCCCTCACAGCTCCTGGGGCCCTGGGAGCCCCAGCTCATCTCTTCCCTGGATCCAAACGTTGTAATTAATGCCAGGTAAAAATAGCTGCGCCACTTGTGTGACATCACCCGCAGGGCCTCTGGGTCTGGGGCAGCCTTGCGCGAGGGTCTGCTGTCGGTAACCACAGGGCATTGGGACAACCCCAGGGGAGAAGCACCGCTACTAGGTCAGTTTCCCAAGCCAGCCCTCCTCAGAGATGCCCACCCTGGTCTGATAAGGAAAGAGCAGAAGCTGGGAGTTAGTCAGGAAGGCTTCCTGGAGGAGGTGGGGCTTCATGCCAAAGAAAGTACTGCAGATTAGAATGGCTTGGAGCAGTACTCATAGGGACAGGGGGTGGGGGTGTGGTGAGAGTCTACCAAGGTTTAGAAGAATGAAGGCTGAGGCTTCCAAGAGTTAGCAGCATGCTGGAGCCTGCTTCACTCCTCCTCACCTTCAGCAAGTACTCCAGGGACCCCTTCCTCCGGGAAACCTTCCCTGACAATGTCTCTCTGAGCTCCCACGGTCCCCTCCTATATACTTCATTACAGCAAGTGGCCAATTAGAGGGGGCTCCCATGCCTCTCTCCCCATCTGGTTAGGTGCTCTCCTGGGCCAGAAGGCAGGCCTGAATTCTTGCTCATTCCCCTGGGGCTGGAGGCACGAAAGCACCTGCAGGCCCCATCAAGGTGGCAGCTGAGGCTCCGGCCAGGGGGGTTTCCTAGGGGCCTGCAGCTACGTCCCTGAGGCCCTGGCCCTGTGCTCCAGCCCATCCACGGGGACCAACTCTCCAGCCTGTACCTTTAGGACTGCGTGGGAGGGGTGTGTGTGTGTCAGAGTGCAGTGACTGCCTGTTTGTGATAATTATGTCCCAACAACAGATGGGGGGGGGAGGAAGTCAGCCCAGTGGCCGGTCCTCAGCCATTAATTCCTTGTCCCTCCCCCCTCTTCCTGCTGGCTGTGAAAACCCTTGGCAGGGAGACAGGGAGGAGGGGCAGGGCCCTGAAAGGAGGGTCTCAGACGGTGAATTCCAGCTAGCAGCTCCCTGGAGGTGGGTGCAGTGAGTGTGGTTATGTCTGGGCAAGGACTGGCCTGGAGGGGGGTCGGTGGGCACTGGGAGGGCAGAACTGTCCTCTCCCCAGCTGGCTGGCTAGGGGCCTTTGGGTCAGCTGTTCACCACAGCAGCTCCGTCTATGCTAGACGCATCCCAGACTCCACAGGTAAGGGACAAGGGTGCCTCCACAACAGAATGCCAGCAGCTGGAGGGGAAAGATGCCCTGCGGCGGGGTCCACACACATGGAGCCACTGAGGCCCAGGTGTGGCTCTGTGAGAAGACGAGCCTGCAGGCTGTGGGAAGGCAAAGTGTGCAGTTCTAGAGGGCAGACTAGGACGGAGGCCAAGTGCAGGGGCCTTATCTTTCCTGGGTTCACAGTTCTCTGGGTGAGTAGCACTGACCACAACTCTAACTGCTTCGCCTGTCCCTCCCTGGAAGCCTACTTTGAACCATGGGGAAGGCGGCTCAGGAGCCGGTTTCTGCAGGCCGTGTGACCTCTGTGACCATCTGAAGCTATCAAGCGCAGGACCGGGACACCCACAGTCATTGGGCAGAGCCAGGGGCGTTTCTAGGTCCTTCCAGAGGCCAGTCTGTGTAACAGTCATCAGACCCTCTGTCCTGAGCAGGAAGGCTGCTGGCAATGACCAAGACCCAGACTTGGAAGAAGTGAGGCGGGGTGGGAGTTCTGGAAGCAACCTCACCCCTCACCCTTTCCCAAGAGTCCCTGGGGTATTCTCCCTGCTAGCCTTTGCTGGTCATTCCCCTGCCTGGACCTCCTTCCTTCTCCCCTCAGCCTGTACAAAACCCGATTTTCTTTCAGGAGTCCTGGTATGGTGCTGTAGGATAAGCACTTGATTGCGATGCTGGCTTGAACCTCAAGGCCAGCAGTTCAAATCCACCAGCTGCTGCTTGGAAACCCTATAAGGGTTGCTATGAGTCACAACTGACTTGACACCATAACAACTTCTTTCAGAGAGACTCCTCCATCCACTGGCACTTCTGCCCTGAGCTCCCCAGCGGGGTTCCAGTCACGCAGTACAGCCCTGCGCTGGGGGCCCTGAGCGACCTGGGTCCTGTCTCTGGCCAGGCCCTTTCTCACCATCAGGGGCCTGGACTCTCAAAGAAGTGATGGCCCTGGGACACTGAAGCCAACTGTCAGCCTACTGGGACCAGAGCAGGCAGGGGGGTTGCTGCTGGTCCACCTCCAAGGGCTTCTTCTCTGGGTACTGGGGCTGCAAACAAAGGAAGCCCACCAGACTCTTGAGGGGCCTGGGGATCAGGTGCTAGTCCCTGATAAGTCAGTGGGCTAATGCCTCCCCAAATCCATCACTGGGGTTTCTCTAGGCCCAGCTGGGTTCTGAGGGCTTTTATGTTTGTCTCATCAGGGTGTACTGGGGCTTCAGGGAACAGGGCAGGGGTGAGGGTGGAAGGAAGGGTAGAGTCCCTGTGGTCACCTTTCCAAGCCTTCATTTCTGACCTCATGGCCAGGAACCCCTGCCCCCTCCAGGCCAGAAACACAAGGAGGGGAGAGGGGTCTTACAGGGGTAAGAATAGCGTGGATGGAGAAAAGGGGTGGGCAGTTGTCCTCAGCTCCTACATTTCAGACACCACAGCCAGATCTTTTCTTAAAATATTCATGAGCTCTACAGACGCTCACAGGCAGAGGACCTTCGGAGCAATTGCACACTTGGGTGCGCTTCAGGGGAGAGTGTCCGGGCAAACAGTCCCCAGGCTTTTCCCATGGAGTCCAGGTAGGAGAGAAGTCAGCTCCCATCCATGGCCGTGTGGTACAAACCCAGCATTCTGAGCGCCAGACTCCCCACCCCCTCCACCCGCTACTCTCCCCTTCTGCTGCACCCTCACTCCCTAGGAGTTCGGAAGAGTATCCAGGCTGGACAGGGTCTAAACTCTGGTCCCTCTGTGCCAGGGTTGGGGCACCCCAATGGCTCTGAGCTACTCCCCTGGGGAAACCAAGGCCTCTTCCTGGGCCCCCAATACAGGAAGGGGAGCTAAGGCTTCCTCTGCCCCCCTCCACCGCCTTCTCTCTGAACTCCTCAGGACCTTGGAGCCTGGCCCGGCACACTTACAGTGAGGGCTCTTCCCAGCATGCCCTCCTTCAGTGTCAGCAACTCCTGTTACCCACATGGGGGCCCTGACAACAGGCTGGGGTGCCTTCTATCTGCTTCCTACCTGGGGGCCCTTTCTTCTCTCTGTATTGAAGGCAGGGTGCCCGGTTTACTGCTGGGTACTCAGGCATCAGCTCTCATTAAACCTTGCCACTCTGCCCCAG